AAAAACTACACAAATACAAACAGGCTGAATAATATACTCTTGAGTGGTCACTGGGTTACTGAAGAAATCGTGGAGGAACTTAGAGAGAATGAAAATGCAACTTACCAGAACCTTTGAGACACGGCTGGGAAGAACTAAAGCAGTTCCAGGAAAGGAGTGTACAATTGTGAGTGCTTCCACTGCAAAATCAGGAGGATCACAATATATATATATATATATATCATCCTAGAAAACACTGACGATTCAAACTTCAAAGCTGTAGGTGGCATAAATTAAATATCAGAGCAGAAACTAATGTAATAAAGACAAAGAATACATAGAATCCATCAAAGAGTTGATCCTGCAACTTAGTAAAATTAGAGATTGAAGCAGGAGGTCATAGATTCCAGTGAAATCCAGACAATCATTAGTGAACATTTTGAAAACATTTGCATTTTTGCAACAGCAAGGAAATGAAACTAGCCTAAATATCCATCAACAGAGGAGTGGATAATGAATATGTTGTATTTGTATATACTACAAACTTATCTGTAAAGAAAAATGAAATAATGACATCTGTAGAACTATAGATAGGCTGTATTAAGTAAAATAGGCCTGATTCAGAAGGTTAATTCCCTACATGCTTTCTCATACACAAAACTTAGATGTAAAGTTATTGTGTGTCGAGCACATGTGTGTTTATATTTGCATGTGTGAAGTTAGCAGGGGATTGTATTCATGGAAGAAAAGAAATGGGGGTTGGGGAGAGAAGGTAATAGAATATTTGTGATATAAAAGCAGAACAGGGCATATCTGGGGGGGAAGAGAACCAGCCTAACAGGGTGGGGGCAGAGGACAGGAAGGAGACAGTGAAGGAGGGGAACAACCTAGAACAAAAATGGTATTTATTAATGAAAATTCTACTACAAAATACATACTTCATATATTAACCTAAGAGAAGTTAATTTCTAAAAACTTAAAGCCCACTAAAATTACAAAAATTTTAACAAGTTTTGAGGACATTCTATTAATATCTACACCATAGGTTCTTTCTGGATGATTCTGTTCCATCTTTTGCTCGACTTCCTAGATCAAGTCCAGAAGATGCCCAGTTCTAGCAGTCATTTGAATATTCATCAAAAAACAAGATGCATATTCTCCTGAGCGATATGTGTGGCTCAAGAAATACTCATATGTATGATACCACTTGACTTAGAGGGAAAATTGAGTTAAAAATAGACCACCCAAAGCTTAACAGTTGCAATAAAAAAATCAACAAAAAATAATCCTAATAGCATATTCTTACAAAAGCCAACATTCTGATTTAAAAGTTATTATAAAATTGTAATTTTTATCTTGAATAAAAATGAATACATTATCGTAGTAAGAAGATAGGTAGGGATAGAGTATTTAAAGGGGAAAAATAAAGAATTGGGGCTGATTTGTAGAAACAAGGGGAAATGCCTGCAGGGTACAGAAAAACACAAAAAAAGTGCCTCCGAGATTAAGCATGAGGCTACTTTTCTCTTAGTACTTAAGACCTAAATTCTGTGGTGTGAACTTTCTGCATTTCCCTACTGCTGATTTAAGATGAATTACTTACCTGAGAAAATATCGTGTATAGCCAACAGGTGTTTCCTGAGTTGTATTAGGCCCTTTCTCCTATTTCCAGTTGCCTAAAAGCTAATTAATATCATGAAAACATGGAATAGACTTCACTGGAAAAGCTGTTGTCCAAATGTAGATGAAGTGTTTCTAAAGACAGGAGATATCTACACGCCCTATATGCATTAGCTTTTTGGCAATCTAAGAATGTAGGAAACTTAAACAAAATAACCTCCAATATCCACCTAGCTTTTCTAGTTTAGAAATGTTTCATTCTAGGGACTCCAATGCAATTTAAAATTTTTACGCTTGTTTGTGTGCACACATGCATTCACGTCCACACTACAGCACACATGCAGAGGTCTGAGAACAACTAGAGAATTGCTTCTTTCTATCATGTGGGTCCAAGGAATCAAACTCAGAGTTTCGGGCTTGGCAAATACCTTTACCACTCAGGTTTTCGGGGTTGGTAGAAAATACCACTGAGCCAACATGTCAGCTCTAATTTAATTTTTGGATGATGAGTAAGTAGCAGTACATATGGATGCTATAGAAGACAATACATTTGTATATTGATTGGTGACAGAATACTGCTTGTTACCTCAGTAAAAAGAAGCATTCTCCAATTTGAAATTCCAATATAAACCATGGAAACTCCTGAACAACTGAGACTATTGCCAAGGCTCTCCACAAACTAATGGTAAGGCCCTATTCTTAAAAACAGCACCTGGGTCTCAATGAACATGGAGAACTCAAACTGCTGCCCTCGCTCCTACCATGATTATGAAAGGTACTCTGTGTACTAACAAAGAAAGGTTAACACCAACCCTGCTACAGTCTGTCCCTTCTGGGTGACCTGCTTGCATGACACACTTTCTCAATAGTAGCCCAAAAGCTGTGTAACCGCTATCTAATTGGATTTAAGGTCCACTCCGTAAGATGGAACCCATGCCTGACACTGGTTGGGTGGCCAAGAATCTAAGACTAGATAGGCCATGGACCAAATATTGTTGCTCCACTAAAGGAATGAAGAAATATGACTCCTAACAACATTCTGCTATGCTCACAGGTAAGTGTCTCGCTCTGCCATCATTAGAGAAGCTTTTCCCTGGTGGTAATTAACACAGAGATCCACATCAAGACAATGTACAGAGAGTGAGAAACCCTGGAAGACTCCATCCTAATTGGAATGTCTTCAACAAAGCCCTCTTCTCAAGACTCGGGGAACTTTGGCAAAGTGGAAGCAGGAAGATTCTAAGAGCCATGGGGAATGAGGACACCAAGAAAATGAGGCCTTCCAGACCCAACAGGACCCATGCACCTATGACCTCACAGAGACTGTGGCAGCCCGCACAGAGCCTGTATGGGTCCAGACAAAATAGGGTCCCAGCACTGATGGGGAACTGGACATCATCTCCCAGTCATGACTCAAGCTGTCTCCAATTAACAACTCAAAAAGGAAAACTTAGTTTCTCTAACGCAGTGTGGTATGCAAGCCACACATAAAGGCAAGCCTATGCCCAGAAGTAGACGGCCAACACAAAATGAACTCTAAGGATTTGAGGAAATTTTCTGTCTCATATTACTGTGTCTGGGCATTTTCTTTTTTATCTTTTGCAAATATATTATGGTTGTGAGAGTTCTGTGTGTGTGTGTGTGTGTGTGTGTGTGTGTGTGTACACGCGCACGTGCATTCCTCATGGTCTTTCTTCATTTCGTCCCTCTTTCCTTCTTTCCTTTTTTCCTTCCCTTCTTTCATTAGATTGGTCCTTGTATTTTAGCCTAGTCTATCTTTTTTATTTGTCTGTTTGTTTTCTTTGAAAAGAAGAAAAAGTCCTGCAGTTGGAAGGACGTAGAGACAGGGAGGGTCTGCAAGGGAATAAGGAAGGGAAAACTGTGATTGGAATAGAACATATGAAAATAACTTTATTTTTAATCAAACTTAAATAAATAAATTCTAGCATAAGAAAAAGTATGGAAAACATAAAAATGTTCAAGTCAGCTACAGGGGTATGCCCACATTTGGGGGAATGTGCCCAAGAGGGTATCTTCCTTTACAGCCCTTTAAAGATACACTCATGAGAATAAACATTTTCTACTTTTGGGGGATTGTTCCATTAATTCATGACCAAGAAGCTATGTTCTAATCCAATGCTTTGAACAAAAAAAAAATAAATCTGCCCAGGTCTCTCTCTCTCTCTCTCTCTCTTTTTTTTTTTTTTTTTTTTTTTTTGTTTGGCTCTTCTCGATTTTAAGTAGCAAACCTGGTGATTTATTTTATTCAACACAAAGTAAAAGCAGTGGTTGACTCCCATGACTGCCTTTGTTCTTCCTTGTTGGCCCCTTTTTGCCCTATTTGAATAGCACTGTACCTCCTTCAGCTTCCATTCTTAATGAGGTTATTTACCTTGCATACCCAATGAACCCAATGAGATTGTACCTTATATAATAAATCCTCTACTCTGAGGTATGTCTGAGAGGGCAACCTATTTTGCTATTAAAAGGTATAACCTTTTAACTGAGATTGGTCCTAAAGCTGGACACAACTTCTCTACTGAATTTCCAATTACTTAACGATGTCACCGTAGCATACAGGGGTTCACATTTACACACGCTCGTGGATCAGCCACACGAACGCCCACTCATTACAAAACGACTTTTAAAAGCTCATTTTCCACCACACGTATAAATGCTCCTGCTTATGTGTGTTAATGAAATACATGTGTGCTAATGCTGCAAGCTGGGCACTAAAGAATAATCATTTTAATGCATTAGCATCGCTATCAATTACGTGAGCTAATGAAATGCAAGCAACGACAGTCCATTTGGGCTCTAAATTTCCTTCCAGTCAAGAACTGCTATTCTCCCTAGGCCCAGTTATTTACCGGAAGCTGTAACGTTGACTACCTTAACTTCAACTTACATTATTACTACAGTGAGAAATAGCAAGCCGAGAAATGTCCTAAAGTTTTGACGCAAACAAAGGACAAGGAAGCCTGAATAGTTTACCATTTTGACAGTAACTTTAGCCTACCATCATTGATGGGATAGAGGTAGAGACCGTTAGTAATCGATGGGAAGTGGGGGGAGGGGCTGCTATGCCTTTGAGTCCATTTAAGTCATACCATTCGAAGATACTACTATTACAAGCATTTCAAATAAATACGTTAAATAAAATTGTTTTACTTAAAAATTATCTTAATAAAACTTTTCCTTAAAACCCTATCTCACCTTTTATTCTATTTTATTATCTTTCTATTGACACAAAGCCTCACTCTATAACCCAAGTTGACCTATAACTCACAATGAAGTCCAGTTTGGCCTCAGACAAACTCAAGGTAAACCTGACTTCAGCCTCAGGTAATGGGACCAAGGTGTGAGCCACCATGTCCTGGGACTTTTGTGTGTCTTTTCTCCTGGGGAGAGTGTGAACACAGCCCCCCCCCACCACAAATTTTGCAGCTGAGTGTTCTGCATTTGGAGAAATTGCAGGACTCGGCACATATGGTGCACAATGGATGAGCCTCGCCCTGGGAAAACCACCTTGGTTATCATGGTATCTCCCCTGCCAGCTAAGGATACTTTCACAGGTCTTAACTTCAGCTTTCCATTAACCTGATCAGTGTGCTTGATGCTGCTGCCCTAACCTAAAAAACATGTTTTCATTGCTAGCCAGTGCAGTGCTGGTCAGATTTAATACCTACATGGAGAAGAATGGAACCTGATCCTTATCTCCCACACCTCACAAAGCTGAACTCCAAATGGGTCAAGGACCTCAACATAAGACCTGGGGCCCTGAACCTAACAGAGGAGAAAGTAAGGAATATGATTGAGCTTATTGGAACAGAAAGCCTTTCTGGTCAGGACTCCAATAGCTCAGGAAGTTCAGATCAACAGTTCGGCACATGGAGAGATGGCTCAGTGGTTACGAGCACTGATTGCCCTTCCAGAGGACTGAGGTTCATTCCAAATACCCACACAAAAACTCACAACTATCTGTAGCTTCAGTCCTAGGGAATTCAACACCCTCTTCTGGCCTCCTAGCACCAGGTACACACATGGTACACAAACATGTATGCAGTCAAAACATCCATACACGTAAATAAAATTGTAAACAGACCAGCAATTAATAAAAACGCTTTGTACAGCAAAGGACACCATCATTCAAACTAATGCTGACTAATTTGCACACTACCAAAGGAAAAACATAATCATCAGTCTTAGCTGTGAACCCAGAAAGCTACAATAATGTCTGCCTGGCAGGACAAGCCTACTAGTGTAATAGCAGCGTGAACATCAGGGAGTGACAAACCACTTTCTAATCGGATTTAAGGCTCACTCTATATAAACCCATACCTGGGCACCATTGTCAGGCCAATAATTTATGGCTCGACAGGTTAGGCTCTAGGGGAGAACCAACCAACTACTGTTATTCTACTAAATGGACATAGTAGCAAACCAATTCTTAATGACCCATTATTATAATCATAGACCAATTCACATCTCAATCCTTATCATAAAAATTGATTTGCATCTATTTACATTAGATGTAAATGAACACAGAGACCCACAACTGGTCAAGGTGCCGAGAATGAGAGACGGAAGAATGCTTGGTCCTAAATGGGAAATCCGTATCACATCCCCTCCTCCCAGGGTTCAAGTATCATTGTAAAAGACAGGGTGGGAAGACTATAAGAGCCAGAGGTGGTGAACGAATACAAGAAAGCAGAGTCCTCTGGACACAACAGGGCAGCTGCACATGAGTACAGCGAGTGTGACTCCATTCACAAGCCTTGTGTAAGGTCAAGTCAAACAAAAGCCCCGCATGGAGAGGGAAGGTGGGCATGAAGTCCCACCTCGGGCAAAGAAGCTATTGGCAACTGATAGCTGTTGGAAGACAGGAGCCAGTTTTCTTTAAGAGTTTTGCCCTTGGTAAATCGATCACACTGCCGTGGAAGGCCACACATCCAAGAATATATGGGCAGCACAAATTGGATTTGATGATGGGGGAGGGGGACAGAGAAGGACACAAAGTTGTGTGGGTTGGGAAAGGGGGAGATCTGAGAGGAGTACAAAATTCTCAAAGTATTAAAGAAAGAAAGCAGCAGCCAAAAAAGACCAGCTCTCTTAAGCCAAAAGACTTTGCTTACAATTCTCAAGAAAGGAGTAATTAGAAGGAGAATCTTCTCCACATAAATCATCTTGTTCCTCTCCCCTGCGGGAGACCCAAGAAAGTCTTGCCTGCTAAGATCTCATAGGTTGTGCCTAGACAATTCAAATATTGACAACCTACCATTTTACAGGCATTGCAAGCATAGCAGAGAACAAAACCTCAGATATTTCTGGCAATAAGCATTTTTTCTACTGGTTAGGGAGATGATCTAGCAAGAAATATATATGCAGTATTTCAGACAAGGATAATATTGCTGCTGGGTGCTGGCAATAACAGTGAAATTGGTTTTAATTTAATAAAGAAAGCAAGAAAGGAGAGTGAAGGAGTGTTTTAAAGAGATATGACCAGGTCAGAGACAGCAAGCTGCTATCTGAGTATCTAAGATGAGTTTAAGGTAGAAAAAAGGGGGACACAGGAAGAGGACCACCACGCGGGCATAAGGATGAGCAGTGTAGAGCTTGTAAGCCATTGTGCGACAGGCTTCCACTATGAATATGAAGAGCAATAAGTGATAGGTGAGCAGATAAGTGGCTATTCCAACAGCCCAGATGAGAGAGGAGAGGGCCTTGGTGCTGAAAGAAAGGCTGAGCCCACAGCTGGACTCAGTCACCATCAATCCTGCAAAAATAGCTATATTATAAATTCTAATTCAAAACATTTAAGTGCTATAAAATATAATTCATCAGTAAGGATACAATTTAGTGGCTCCTGGGTGTTAAAATTTATTATAAAGTGTATTTGTGTGTGTATCACTTAAGGTTGCCGCATATCTACATTAAAGATTGAGTCAATAATCACGGCAAGCAAAGTTTCAAAACTAAAAAAGAAAATGATTACAAGTTAGCCTATGACATAACTTACACAGACACATCTTACAGTCTTACGTTTGTGTAGTATGAAATGTAAATATTGTAACAACAAATAGACACGGTTTTCAAAGACATTTCTTTTTACCATTTTATGCATATTAGTCTGCATGTGTAGATGCCTGTACCATGTGCGTGCCTGGTGCCCAAGTAAGCCAGAGAGTGACTGAGCCCCTGGAACAGAGATTACCAGATAGTTGTGCGCTGCCATGTTGGTGGGAATGAACCTGGTTTTTCTGCAAGAGAATCGAGCACTGTTAGCAACTGAGCCATCTCTTTAGCTCTGCAGAAATTTTAGTAAGACGAATAAACACCCTTAAGTAAACAGGTAATGATTATGTTGAATCAACAAGAACTGAGATCTAAAACAAGTCACAATCTTATGAAAGTCAAAAGTTAAAGTACAAAGCTTGGTTGTGTTCACTCACTTTTTGGTATTAAGGACGGAATCTGGGGCCTCACATACGCAAGCAAGAGCTCTTTACACTGAGCTAAGATCTTGTGCTGTATCTTTTTCATGGTATCAGTCATTGAAACAAAACACACGGAAGTTTTCAGTATAGGTTTTTGGAAGAGGTTTTAAAGCAATTGTAATTTTAGCTTTCAATCAGGGGTCTCTTTAGCTTCATTTTACTTTACAATTCTCCTGAAATAACTGTGTTTAAACAACTAAAGATACAATCCTCTCAGGGGGAAAAAGATGAGTCAGATGATTGGGAAATAACTATGTGGAATCTGAGATTCCATGAAGCATAGCATAAAAATAAAAATTAAAGTAAGTTTTAAGAAAAGAGTTCCCTGGATTTCTGGAAAAGAGGCCATTCCCAGCAAAGGCTGATTGTCAGGTCCCGGAACTGCTCTTAGGAATGTCAGCAGCAGAAGTGGGTGGGAGAGCATAATCCACCTCTCTTCCCGGAGTCTCACTTTTGCCCATCTATCAACCACCTGACAACAATCTACTAATTATGCATTTGTAGAAAGAATGCTTTTTGCAACTAGAACAATATAAGAATTACATACAAATAGGAATTCTGAAAGACACGTGTAAGTTCATAAGGAAACAAGGGAAAGGCTGATCCTCACCTCAAAGCCAACAGAACACGCAAAGTACTGGAGAAGAAAGTGCCGGATGAGCAGTCTAGGAACACGAGGATGATGCCCCGGAATGTGCGGAGAGAGCACCAGGCACGCAGGCTTTACAGATCCACAGATTAAATGAAGAAATTCAGCTGTTCAACACCTGTTCCTCTAGGCGAAGCTGTGGAGTTGGGAGCTCTGGGTAGCAGCCACCCATATCCTTTCCTTCCTAGCTTCTACGACACCAAAGCAAAGATCTGGAGGATGAGAAAATCTAAAACTAAGATTTCTGACATTCTGGTGAGGAATTTAAATCCCAATGAAGGTGAATATTGGTACTGGGGCACAGTACTAGAAGATCCAGAATCCAGCTCTGCTGTGGCGGGGAGGGAACTAGTGTGTGCTCCGCACTGTGCAGACAGACAGGGGAAACTACCTAAGCAACACTGGATCTCCAGGGAGCATCCAGTCTGGGCAAAAGTCTGCATTTTTTGTATAAACCCAACTGACAATGTGGACTCAGAACAAACTTTTTGACGAGATAATAAATGTGTAATTCCTTTCATGCTTTAAGGGACTGTCTTATTGGAAATGGGCTTTCCCCCTTTTGTCTAAATAAAAACGAAAGATGTTAACTTTAACATAGTAAAACATACAACAAAAACAGTTATCAAAAAGAATTACATTTACAATATTCAGTCCATTTGTATTTAGCAAATTCAGAGAAAATACTCTACCATGTATCCCATCTTAGTAGCTCCAAAGTTGTATGCCTAATTTACTTTCTATCATAACTAAGGGCAACTAAAACTCTATTTAGTCTTTAACACCATCAAAGACCCCAGAAGGGCGGACAATTACCTGAGTAAGCAGGGAGTGGATTTCAAGCAACTTCCAAAACTCTAGAAATGACGGCAACATCCGGCTGCCTCCGCAACACTGGGGTACCCATCTACAACCTACAGGCCTAGCGTATCTGGCAGACTTTTCAGTGAAGTAGGAAATTTTAAGGACTGTTCCACCTTGTATTGGCAAAGCATCAAAGAATGTTTTAGAAATTCATTCAACATCCAGAAGAGAAATATAATTTATGCATTTATGCACAGAGCAACTTCAATCATCCTTTTTGTTATTGCAAACTGATCCCATTCTGTGGTACCCTAGAAGAAGTACAGCGAATAGTGCAGGCAGAACAAATACGGTACTCGCTACTGTGAAGTAGAGAAGTCAGAAGGCAGTAGAATACTCTTTTTCAGTTTCTTATTTCTGCAGCAGAACTTCAGAAAACCTGGTCAATAAACTCTTCAGTATATTCTTTACTTTTTAAAATACTGTTATAACACATTGTTATAAATTATTATTATAGTATATTTTAATCATTTTCAGGTACATTAGGTAAGGGAAAATGTTAGTAGAAATTTAACCTTACCAAACGGTTAAGAGCAGAGGATATACAAAGAGGCA